TGATGTTTACTGTAGGGTTTTGTAGCCGCAACTTATAAAATGAAGGAAGTTTTCTTCTATTTCTAGTTACTGAGAATTTTTATTGTGAAAGTTGGCAAATTTTATCAAATGCTTTTCTGCATTTATTGAGATGGTGAATGATTTTTCTTCTTTATTCTATTAGTATGTTAATACAATGAATTGCATTGCTTGATTTTGTAATGTTCAACCAATCATACATTCCCAGAATAAACCCAAATTGGTAGTGATGAATTTATATATATGAATTTGGCTTGCTCAGATTTCATTTAGGAATTTTGCATCTGTGCATGAATGAAATCACCCTCTACTTTTCTTTCATGAAGTTTCTTTGTCAGGTTTTGTTCTCAGGATTATGCTGGCCTTATTAAAAGTTGGGCAGTGTTTTCTCTGTTCTGTTCTCAGGAAGTTTGTGTAAGACTGGTGTTTTTTGTTGCATCAGTGTTTGGAAGCATTCACAGAGGAAGCCTTTGGGCTGGAGCCATTTGCTTTGTCCTGTGGATCTCATTGTTTTTTTCATTGGCGCATTTGTCAGTGAGGTTGAGCAATTCTTTATATGTTGAAATGGCGATTTGTAGTTCTCTTTCTGTGGTCTAATGAGTCATATCCCTGTGCATCTTTCTAATGGATACTTGGTCTTTGATATTAAATATTTAAATATTAAAGTAACCAGCCCCAGATCGCGTACTGAAACTGTCTTTCCACAAGGTTTTCATTGGTCTTTTGAAATATTTTTCACATCAAAATTTAAAATTTTTATGTGTTCAAATTTCTTTTTTTTTTTTTTTTTTTTTTAATTTTTTGGCCACGCTGCATGGCATGTGGGATCTTAGTTCTCCGACCAAGGATCAAACCTGCCCCCTGCATTGGAAGGGCAGTCTTAACCACCGAACTGCCAGGGAAGTCCCAATTTATCCTTTCCTTAGTATGGCTTTTTTTTTTAATTAATTAATTTAGGCTGCGCCAGGTCTTAGTTGTGGTGCGTGGGATCTTTAGTTGCCTCACGCGAACTATTAGTTGCAGCCAGCAGGATCTAGTTCCCTGACCAGGCATCGAACCCAGGCCCCCTGTGTTGGGAGTGTGGAGTCTTACCCACTGGACCACCAGGAAAGTCCCTTTAATGTGGCTCCTTGATTTTATGTCATGCCTAAAAAAGGACTTCCCTACTCTAAGGACATAAATAAAATTTTTTTCTCCCATTTTTTTACAATATTTGTATGGTTTTATTTTTAACTCTTAAATCTTTGGTCCAACTGGCATTTAATTTGGTATAAATAAAAGCCCGGGGTCCCACTTTACTGTTTTCCAGGTGGCTACCCACTTGTTCTAATACTGATTGTCAGCAATTCATCTTTTTCCTACTGCTTTGAAATGCTCTTTTAGCAGACAAGATCCCCATATATTTGCATTTCTTTGTGAACTTTGTGTTGTGGTTGATTGCTTTCTGAGGTTTATTCATATGCTGTTTTAACCTACTGTATGTTTACAGTGTGTTTTTAAATCTGATGGCTTGGTTTACTTGAGTTTTTTTGTTTGTTTCACAAAAGCACTGATGCAATTCAATGAGGGAAATGAATGTCTTTGTAATAAATGATTCTGGACTGGCTGCCCAAGCATTTATTTTAGTTTTCCCATTTAGGCCTAAGATTCATCTCGAATTAATTTCTGTATATGGTATGAGGTAGGGGTCAAGACTCATCTTCTCCATCTGTCTCCCCAGTTTCCACCTCTGGCACTTACCCCACAGGGCCCCGGGAGCTTTGGTACATCAGTGCTCTCATTGGAAGATGGGCCTCATCATAGCTCCCTTTCATTAGGGGATTACGGGAATTCATGCATGTAAAGCAATAAAGTAGCACCTAGCCGTGGTCAGTGTCCGACAGATGTTACTGTTGTTTTGAGATATTTATTCATGTTAAGGGAATATCCATTTATTTCCATTTTATTCAGTGTTTTGTTGTTTTGTCTGTGGGTGTTTTTTTGTTTTGTTTTGTTTTTTTAAATCAAGAATGAGTGTTGAGGGACTTCCCTGGTGGCGCAGTGGTTGAGAGTCCGCCTGCCGATGCAGGGGACACGGGTTCGTGCCCCGGTCCGGGAAGATCCCACATGCCGCGGAGCGGCTGGGCCCGTGAGCCATGGCCGCTGAGCCTGCGTGTCCGGAGCCTGTGCTCCTCAACGGGAGAGGCCACAACAGTGAGAGGCCCGCGTACCGCAAAAAAAAAAAAAAAAAAAAAAAAGAATGAGTGCTGAATTTTGTCAAATGCCTCTCCGTGGAGAGGACTCCGTGATTTTTCTCCTCTGGTGAAAGGAGTACAAGTCCCTCTCATGGACATTCCCATCAGTAGTGGTGTTGGCCCCACCCGGACACCCTGTCCTTTTGAATGTGTTCTTGGAGTCCCCTTGCTTGTATTTGTTTGAGGAGTTTTGTGTTGGCCTTTGGTGTGCTTTGCCGAGTTTGGGGCTAGTCCTATGCTGACTTCATAAAGTGAATGTGGAAATGTTCCTCCTGGCTCTACACTGTGGCGGCTTAACTGGCAAGAGAGGCCTCTGATCCTAACGGCAGGACACACTTCGCCTGGGAAACTTTCCAGAAGGGCATTTGAGGTAGACCAGTGTTCCTGCCACGTTCTCAGTTTTTTTTTTGTGATCACTGACATGTCTAGACCTTTGCTCTTTCTTGGACCCGTTTGTCATTTATACTTAAGCTTGCCAGATTTAGCAAATAAAAATAAAGCCTGCCCAATTAAATCTGAATTTCAGATAAGTGGCAGTGTTTTTAGTATGTGTTAAGTATCACAATTCTACTTACATCATCCTAGAAAGTAATTTATTTTGTCAAGTTTCCAAATTTATTTTTATTAAAATGAGTAATCTTTTCTAGTACTTCTAACTTCCTCTATAGCTTAGGTTATTTCCCCGTTGTCATTTCTTTTTTGTGTGTATTTACACGTCCTTCATTTTTACTAATTGGCTAGCTAATAGCTTATATATCTTTTTCAAAGATCTGTCCTTCTGACTTCAAGTTTATCAATTTCTGCTTCAGTTGTTACTAAATTCTTCCTCTTGCCTTCCTTACTGTTCTGGTTGTTCTTTTACTAACTTGGTATGTTAGATATTTTGTTTTGATTATTATTAATGTAACTATTTAAGGCAATATATTTTCCTCTGAGCCCTGCTTTAGCTATATTCTGTGGGGGCTGATCTGTATTGATGTGAATGTTATTTTGAAGATACCGCTTTGATTTCCTCTGTGTAACAAGATGTTTAAAGAGGCTGTAAGAGTCGCTAACTGGGCTGGGAATGCATCTTGGTTGGCATTACTTGTGGTCCAAGAGGGATGTGGGCAGGGGCCAGGCAAGTAACCTAGGGTGGGATGAGCAGGGAGCAAGAGGAATGGGCTTCCTCCAGGGGCCCCCAGGAGCCAAGGAGGGCTCTGTGTGGCCTCATGGCAGGATCAGGTATGCATTTTCCAAGGCTCATCACTGTCACGAGTAGGGAGTGGATAGAGGCTGTGGCAGCGGCAAGGAGGCAGAAAGGGACGAAGGGATGGAACCAAGGCCAAGCCACGCATATGGAGGGAGAGGACTGGGTGACTATCATGGAGGGGGGAGAGGGGGGCACCAGAGAACTTCCGGCTGCCTCAGAGCTGGCTTCTGGTTGGGTGTATTGAGTCCGAGGTGCCTGTGGATCCCAGGTGCTCTGGAGGTGGGAGGTGGGCGGGTGAGTGGGTATGTGAGTCTGATGGTCCAGAAACCTGGGCTAGAGCCTGGGCGGGGACCCATCAGTTCACAAGTGGTAACTGAGGCTCCAGGGGATGGTGAGGGTCCCAGGGATGGCAGAGGGTGAGTCAGGAGTGCAGGGACACCGTTCTCATGCTCTGGGGATACAGCTGGGAGGCACTGCGGCGAGAGTGTCTGTTGTCTGAAGGCCCTCAGTGTGTAGTGCTCTGTCCCAGCAGGCACAGGAGCAACATCCAACCCGTCCTGTGCGGCTGAACTCCAGGCAGAATGGGAGGTGATGGATCTGTAGTGGCGCCCTTCCAGGCAGAGGTACACCCCTGTGGGATGTTTGGGGTGAAACAGGAACTCCCAATGCTCCCAGGACTCGGCATGGGGCAGGACCCCCCCCAGGGAGGGTGGCGCACTCAGGAGCTGGCAGAGCCATCCACGGTGGCTGGGGGCTCGTGGGTCTCAATCGGGGGTGGTTTGGTGACTGGCTGTGGCGGTGGGGTGACACTGCGCCTAGCAAGGGGAGGCCAGGGATGCTGCTCCACCGCCTACAGGGCGTGGACAGCGCCCCCGCGAAGAATGACTCACCCGAAACATCAACAGTGATGAGCGTGAGGACATGGAGTTGGGGGCTGGGGAGGGCTTAGGTCTCGCTTCATCCAGCCTTTTCCTGGCACGGAGGACAAGCTCCAGGACGGGCCTGGGCCAAGGGCCCCCAGGAGCCAGGGACAGGTGCCCCCAGGCCACACCCCTGCCTTCCTCCCAACGGCGTGTGCGGAGCCCCAGCAAGTGTCCAGGGGTGGCCTGGAGAAGGCCCAGCCCGTGTCTGGTTTCCCTGGCTCCGTGGTGGTGTGTGTGGAGGGCTGCAGCTCACTGCACGTGCTTTTTGAAGGTCCCCTCCCCACCTCGACCCTGAATCAGGCGTGGTGCAGCCTTTTCTTTAATCTTGGACTGGAAGATACACAGGTGGGGAATGGGGCTTCGGGGAGCGGGGGCACAGTCCTGGGTGAGAGGCCTGGGGAGGTTGGAGGGGTCAGGGCAGGGCCACAGGGGCTCTGGGAGGGCAGGGCTCGGCCCCCACAGCCGTCCTTCTGCTGGGCTGTCCCCACCTCTTGAAGCCCCAGGCTGACCGTCCAGCCAAGGGGTCCAGATTCTGCCGGACCAGGCTAGCCTGGACGTGTGCTGGGTGGGATCCCAGCTCTGGGGAGGGAGCAGCCTCTTTAGTAGCCTGAAGGCTCCCCACCCTTCCTGGGGTCCGCTGCGGCGTACACGCAGGCCCCGTCCTGGGACACGGCCTGGACCACGTTCAGGAAAACGGGCCTCTCGGTCTGGTTCTGGCCCCGGTACTGGAGCCCCTTCTTCACCTCCTGGAGAGGAGAGAAGGCTGGTCATGGAGGGGCTGGGACCCCGGGCAGGGAGCTGAGGACCCTGGCCAAGGAGGCAGGACTGGCAGGTGCAGTCTGGGAGAGGACAGAGGGGCGCTGGACGCAGCCTTGTCTGCAGGCATGGAGTCTACAGCCTCCCACTCCAAAGGCCCCAGAGGAGAAGCCTGGGCTCCAGGGGATATGATAGGAGGACATCGCCTGGACTAGAAGGAAGCTGAGATGCAGGTTCACTTCTGTCCTGGATCAAGGACACCAGGGGCCTCAACGTGACAACCAAGGAGTCCAAGGGCTTCTGTGGAGAAGATAGCTTTCAACGTTTTGAGGACCTTGAAAGCAAAATCTTCTAGAAGGCAGAGCTTGGGCCCTTTGGAGTCCCAGGTCACCCATACATAAGAAAGGCCCAACTCAACATCTGGCTCCTGCCCTGGACAGGAGGAATGGCCCTGGTGCCAGCATTGTTGGCAGCTTAGGACCTGCCATCTCAACACCAGCATGAGAAGACGGGGGTCCCAGACTCTCCAGGGCCCTGCCCCGCTGGTGGAGGAGTCAGCTAGAGGCTTCTGAACACCCATGAGTCCAAGGACATGGACCCCAGGCCACAGGCACCAGCGGTCCCCAAGGGTGAGGCACTACGAACACGGGCTGTAAAGGCTCAGGTCTGAGACGGTGAGTGTGTGGAATTGGAGGGCGTCAGGGCCCAGGCGTTGGTGTCTGAGCGCCCGAGTACCTTGCCTCGGGGCCTGGTCCCCACACTTGCCAGTCTGTGACTCTTCACACAGATCCTGGCACGTGGAGACCTGTGTTACTCGGGCCCCACATTCCCACTTAAGGCCACGGACCCCTGCCCACCAGGGCCCTCAGTTCCAGGTGCCCTGCAGTCCCCAGGACCTGAGCCACGGGTACGGCAAGGTCTCCAGGCGCTATGGCCTTGGGTGTATCTCTGCCTGACGTGCTAATTACCTAGTGTCCTTAGGTTGGAAGGCCCAGCTCCTCACAGCCACAGCAGGACCTGTGGTCCTCGGAGACTATTCTTTAGCGTCGTAGTGGCCAAACTCCAAGGCCCTGAGGAACAAGGACCCTCCTGGCCTCAGGCCTGGGCCTTGGCTCTGAGGGCCCTTGGAGACTCAAGGTCTCCACCCAGTGCCTCAGATGTTCTCCATGGGAGGTCCTGACCTGTGTGGCCAACACTCTAACCTTCCAGGGAGCTGAGGGCCGTGGGCTCGGGGTTCTCTGGATTCCAGGCTGTCAGGTCCAAATTCTCAGAGTTGAGGTCCTTGGAGAATGGTGTTCACAGAGTAAAGACCTTCAGTCAAGGTCAAGGAGAAGGGCCTAAGAGGATGAGTCCTGGGAGAGCATCAAGTCCTCCTGCCATGGAGAGGACCCTGCACAGGGAGGGAGGGAGGCTGGGAGGGAGGGCCTCGGACTCTGAGAGTTTGGGCCTGACGGGCTGAGGTCCTTAGTCTCCAGGCCCAAAGACCAACGTTCTCAGGACTACACACCCCCTTGGACTCAAGGCCCCTCACTCTGTGGTCCTCAAAATTCCAAGGGCCCCGGGAGGCGGCTTTGAGACCAGAGAAGCTCATAACAGGAAAGGCAGCTTTGATGACCTTGAACCCCAGCTGCTTGAATGGACCCTGGGCATGAAGTTTGGAGTCTTGAAAAGCTGCTAGTCCTTTAAAGTGGGTCCTAGTGAGGGCATCTGCCAGCCCAGAGACCTTCCAAGGAGGCCAGCCATCTGCCCAGGAGGAGGGGAGGTGCTGGGAGTCCCCATTCAGCTCCTGGGCCTGCTTGTGTGGGGAACCAAGAACCCAATGCCATGGAGGGAAATCCCTCTGCAGACTCCCAGGAATAATAGACTCCTTTAGAAATAGACCCGCAGATAAAAGCTGCAGATCGCACAAGGAAGCAGATCACCACGAGGGAGAGTCTGAGAGGCCTCAGCCGGGGAAAGTAGCTTCCGGATAGAATGGCCCAGAAAGAGCAGGGACCAAGGTGCAGGGGAACTCGTTCTGGGAGTCGTGTGAACAACACCCTGTCCCCTGCCGTGGAGACCAGCTGCCTGTTGCCTCCCCCATGGAGCTTCTCAACTCCTGGTGGCCCCCAAAGCCAAAGTGCACCGGGCACACTCAAAAGCTGAGGCCCCACCAGGGGCTCTGAAGGCAAGCGCTGAGGCGTCTGTCTAGCGGTCTCTTGGCCCACGGCCTCACCTGGCTGAAGCTGGGCTCGTACTCTACCCGGCCCTTGCTGTCCACGTGCAGGATGGGGGCTGCAATGGCAGCTTGCAGGTCAAGGCCCAGCCACAGCTTGTTCATGATGGCCTGTTTGGGGAGAGAAGGATGCAGGCAGGGAGGGAGGGAGGGGCACCAGCCACCCTCCCCAACCCCTCCCAGGACATGAGGACAACAGGGCCGCCCAGCAAGGGCACGTTCCATCCAGGAGCCCCCAGACTCACCTGGGCCACAGCAGAGATGATGAGCTCCCCGCCAGCCCCGCCGATCACCAGCTTCGACCCCTGGGCTGCGTTGACCAAGATGGAGGGGACCATGGATGAAGGGGGCCGCTCACCTGGAACTGGAGGCCGGACGGGTATCAGTGCAGCCTCGCTTCCGAGCCAGCGCCCCCACGGGGCCACCCCCTCCATCCCTGTCTCTGTGCTGGGCCTGCCCGGCCTTCCTGCCTTCCCTCCTCTCGTCCGGGGGCATTGTGCTCACCAGGAGGGGGGGTGACTCCGGAGCCCCGCCGGTGCCTCCAGCACAGGTCCAGGAGCTCGTTGTTGAGGAGGATGCCCGTGCGCGGTGAGTACACCATGGCTCCAAAGCTGTGGACAGAGGCAGAGCTGGGCGCAGGCCGTGGGCTCCCGACACACATGGGCTGCACCCCAGCGCTCCAGAAGCTCCTCGTTTTAGCAGCTGTCCTCCAGCATCCTGGAACTGCTCTTCCCTCCCTGGCCCTGCCCCCAAAGATCCACCTTGTCCCCCACCACGGCATCCTCCTGGTTGTAAGGCCCGTCCTCATCCTGGCCCAGGGCCACCCCATCAGCAGCCTTTTCGGCCAGAGGTGTCAGGGTGTAGGACCCTTTTGACACAGGAGAGGGGAAAACAAGGTACCGCTCGATGGACACAGCCAGGGAGGTGCTGGGAGGCCAGGCTGGGGGTGGAGGGCTGAGGTCTAGGGAGTGGAGTGGGGCCTGCCCGCCTGCCCCCGGCCCCACGTACGGCGTATTGATGGTGCTGGTGGCAGACACAGCGCTGCCATCCTCCCCCAGCACGGACACGTGGGCCGTGCCCATCCTATGGCTCCAGGTCTCGGCCAGGCTGTAGTGGCTGAGCTGGTGGTCACCCCGGGTGTCGATCTGCTGGTGGATGTGCTGGGCCAGAGCCTCCCCCAGCAGGTCCTGGGAGGCGTTCTGGGGTGGGCAGACAGGTGACAGGGTCAGTGAGAGGCCAGGTGGAGTCACAGAGCAGAAGGTCCCCTAAGGGTGTCAGAGATGCAGCGCCACCACTGCCCCCCCGTACCTGCCCCTCCAGGGCTCCCTTCAGTCCCCAGACTGCTGTACCCTCCCTGCTCTGGCCCACTGCCAGGCCATCCGGTTCTAGAACCAACCATGTACACATCCCGCCAGCCTCACCCGCCAGGCTCTCAGGGTCTGTGGATGGAGCACCCGTTGGCCTGACCCTCCCTTCATGCTGAGCCCTGGGGCAGGGAAGGGGGCTCTCCACCAGCTCAGGGCACCTCACCTGGACCTCCGGGTGGCTTCGAGGGTCCCACAGCCGCCACCTCTGCCCCCTAGCAAACTTGAGCGTCTCCACGAGGTGATGGTACAAGTTCACCCTCCCCTCGGGCCTGGCCACTGACTCCGCGGAAAAGTTGAACCCTGGGGAGGGGGTGGGCGCAGGTGGGGGTCATCCTGTGCAGTGGTTTGAGAAAGATTTGTCCATGTCCTAATTCTCAGAACCTGTGAATACCTTATATGGAAAAAGAGTGAATATTACCTTGTATGGCAAATGTGTGATTAAATTAAGGATCTTGAGAGGAGCGGATTATCCTGGATTATCCGGGTGGGCGCTAAATGTAATCACATATATCCTTATTAAACAGACACAGAGAAGAGGGAGGCTGAAATTGCAGGGATGCAGCCACAAGCCTAGGAATGCTGGCAGACGCCAGAAGCTGGAAGAGGCAAAGAACAGATTCTCCCCCAGGCCCCCCGGAAGGAATGTGGCCCTGCAGGCACCCTGATTTTGAACTTCTGGGCTCCAGAACTATGAGAGAATAAATTTCTGTTGTCTGAGCCACCAGGTTTTGGTAATTTGTGATACTTTGTTACGGCAGCCACAGGCTGCATCAGGCAGCCCCATCTCTGGACGCTGCCAGGATGCCTCCCGCACCCCGCAACCCCCTTGCAGGCTGCAGTAGGCTGGGCCTCAGCCCTAGCTGCACACACTGGACCGGCAGCTCACCACCTGCAGAGCCACTGCACCTGTGCCCTGCGCCGGGGTCACCTGGGGGCACTTAGTGGGTAGATGACGGCAGACTCTTCAGCAGAGCCCAGGCGTGGGCCACACCGGAGGCCAGCTCTAGAACACACCGTCCTGGCCCACTCCTCAGCCCCGTCTTCAGCATCTGAGGAGGGGGCTGAGCTGGAGGAGGCAGTGGCTGCCCAGAGCCTGGCTGGGCCTGGAATTCAGTTCACGGGCGCCGGACCCCCTGGCTCCTGGGGGCCTCACCTTTGAGCACATTGAGGACAAAGCTGAGAATCGCGCCCCCTGCAGGCGGTGGCGGTGAGTACAGGGTGTAGTCCCCCAGGGGCACCTCCAGGGCGTCCACCACCTCAGGCCGGAATGATGCCAGGTCCTGCGGGGTCAGCCGGCTCCCTGGGGTGAGACAGAGGACTCCATGTACAGACGGGGAAACGAGGTGCAGAGTGTCAGCCAGGGACCTTGGTTTACACAGTGGGGGCCCCCCTCGTTCCCTAGCCTTCTAGGCTCAGAGGGGTGGTGCTGGGCCTGTGGGCAGTGGCCTCAGGGTTGGGGGATGGGTGGACAGAGGCCAGGGACGGGCAGGTTGGAGGGGAGAGTGGGAGAAGGTCGGGGAGGCAAGCTGGCCTCTGAGAGACTCAGGGTGGCCAACTCCAGGCCCAGGAGCACCCCTGCAGCCACCAATAGCTCCCGTCTCGTGGCCCTAACCCTCAGGGTCCTGCTCCTCGGGGGCTTTGACTGCAAGGTCCCTGAGACCAGCAGTGGGCATGACTTGGGCAACGACCTCTCCAAGCCCTAGGAGCAGCTGGCCCCCTCTCAGGGCGAGGGGAGGGGAGGGCCGGACCCACCCTCAGCCCTGGCGCCCAGACCCCTCTTTCTCTGGCGGAACGGGGCTGTGGGGCCTCACGTGCTGACCTTCCTTGGCAACGTCCTCCAGCAACATTTGGCCCAGCCTCCCTGTGTAGAGGGCCTCTGCGCCTTCCGCAGCCACGGTCTCCAAGGTGGCGGCCAGCGCGGGCCACGGGAGTGGGTCGTGAGGACTCAGGGGTTCTGTCCCATTGAAGAAGAGCTGCCTGGGGGGTGGGGGGCAGCCTCAGGGTGAGGCCAGGTCCTGGAGGGCAGCCACACTTTTGGAGGGACCCTACAGGGAGGGAGTCCTGGTCCAGAGTCCTGAGGGGCTGTGGTGGACATGGGGGCAGATTCTCCAGGATTGGGTGGGGCTGACACCCCTCACGTCTCTCATCACCCAGGCCCAGGGAGGACACGCCCCCCCGCCAAGCCAGCGTCCACCCAGGGCTTGACACCTGGCATTCCTCCTGGTCAGTGGGCTGCCCGGGTGGGCGAGTGGGATGGCCAAAGCCCTCCTGCCAGCCCAGAGAGAGTGGGTTGGGGGGGGAGGGCAGGGCCCAAATCTGCACCCTGGGAGCCCCATCACTTTGGCATAAACTGTCTCTGGCCTGAGCCCTCTGATGAGGTTCTGCCACGTGGAACCGGAGGTCTCTGAGCTGTGACATAGCCAGTGACATATTGGCCAGCCAGGGCCCCGGCCCCCAGAAGGTTGATCCGCTGGCTGGAGGAGGGGCTGAGGAGGGGCCCTGGGCCCCCGTCGGAGCTCACCTCAGGGACGATGCGTGCAGGGAAGGGCGCAGGTAGCTGCTACGCAGGAAGCGGCTGAGGATGCGGGGCACGCGGAGGCCCCCCCGGAGCAGCGCGATGGTGGGCCTGAAGAGCTGCGCCCAGGGCAGGCGGCCGTGGCGGTGGTGGGCCTCAGCGTAGCCACGGAGCTCCCCAGGCACCCCGATCCACTGGGCACCTGCACGGCATGGGTGTCATGCCCCTGCCCCTGGGCCGCCCCCCTTGGCCCCCGGGGGCCCTCTGTCACTCCACTCTTGGCTGCCTGGCCCCCCAGCCGTGGCAGCCAGAGCGAGCCTTCTGGAGCCCACCTGGGAGCACGGCCCTCCCCCTCACACTCCTGTACCTCCCCATTTCCCTCTGCACAAAGTCCATGGCCAGGCCTGTGGGCCCAGAAAAACTGGCCCCATCCCCACCCCCCACCCCCAGCCCCCCAACCTGTCTCCACTGAACCCTCCGGGCCTTCGGCTGAGGTGGTCCCTCTGCTTGGATCGTCCCTCCCAACTCAGAGAGCCCTCCCCCGGGAAAACCTCCGCAGGGGCTCCCCATCCCCAGCTGCCACCCCTCAGTGCCAGGGTGGTTCAGCTGTCCATCAGGGGCGCTGCCCCTTCAGGGTGGGGGGTTCTGGTCAGCCCCAGTGGTCTGGTGGGGTGGGAGCGGGTGGCCCCTCTAGGGCCTCACCTGTGCCCAGAGGCTGGGCCTGCTTGCACTGGTCCAGCAGACCTGGGACGTGGCTGGCGGGTACCGTCTCCCTGGCGTTGATGACCTCCACCTTCCCTGGAGTTGGGCAGGGCGTGTGGGGTGTCAGGGGCACCCCGGTGGCTGCCAGGCCTCACTGCACACCAACAGTCCCCCTCAGACAGCCCTGGCCCTGCTCTCGACCTCAGTTTCTCTCTCTACCATGAACTGGCCTCTGCGCTGGTTTAGGCTTTGCAGAGATTGGGGGGCACCAAGAGACCCAGGAAGGGGCGTGGGTAGACAGGGCAGGTCGGCCACACACTCAGGTGGTCTAAAAGGACCTCACTGTTAGCACCTGTGGACGAGCCCATCCTCCCCACGGGGGTCCCGTATGGACTCACCTGTGGACGCATTGTAGATAGTGAAGATGACCCCTCCACCCAGGCCCATGCTCTGGGGGTTGACAACCCCGGTGCAGACCAGAGCCGCGATGGTGGCATCCACAGGTGAGCCGTGCTGCTGGAGGATGGCTCTAGGGAACATGGCACAGAGTAAGTGGCCTGGCTCCCCTGCCCTGGCCTCCTGCCCTGGGCTGCTCTGCTAGCATTCACTGGGGAATGGGGACATGTGGGTGGTCTGCTTGCTGCCACCAAACCGCAGGTTAGTTTTGAGACCACACTGGGCTGCCCCCTCAAGTCCAGCCACTCACAGGTGTACAGCACTCTACAGATTGCAAATTGTGATGCCATTTACACTGCCCCTGGCTGTATATAAGGTTCTTCTCAGTTTACAAAGTGCTCCAGCTGCCATTATTCCCTAGGTCCTCCCAGCAGCAGTGGCTCATTTACAACAGGCAGAACCAGGCCCGGGCCAGCCCCTCCGTTCCTCCCGGCAGCGCCGGGAGCCTAGCCTAGCAGATGCCACTCCTCATCTCACTGGGGACACACTGGCCCAACCCCTTCAAGACTGGATTTTTTCAAGTCACCCCGGGATCCTGCCCTGCCATCAGGGCTTAGGGCTTGGGCTGATGGGTTCCACAGCCCCCCCCCAGGGCCCCACGGTCTGTGGGAATGCTCTCAGGCCTCAGTCTCCCCATCTGTCCACGGGCAGCGAGGGGTGAACCCTTCAGCTCCTAGGTGCTGGTCAGACTGGCCTGTGCCGAGGAAATGCCCATCTCCCTGGGGCACAGCCTTGCACAACTCACTGGGGGCTGCCTCTTCCCTCACAGCCAGGAATCCTCCCCAGCACCTCAAGGTCACAGATGCGAAACCAAGGCCCAAAGAGGGGCTGGGCCTGGGTCCCCTTCCCCCACCGCTGACCCCAGCACCTTCTCAGCTCAGGCACACTGATCCGACGACTCCATGCTGGGCTCACCCCTCCCCGGAGCCACATATCCCTGCTCTGGGCCCACACGTGGGCACACATGGGGGCCACATGGACACAGGTAATCTTGGAATGGGAAAGAGGGCACAAAGACAGAAGTATGAAAGAACTAAGATTCTACATCCAGGCACAGAGAAACACACACTTTAATTAGAATAAAACACCATAAACAAAGAAAAAAGACAAACTGGAAAAAACTAAATTCCCATCACAAAGGCCGCATCTCACTTGACCTCGGAAGTGCTCTCCGCACTAGGTTTTCAGGACCCCCACTTACCACGCTCCGGTTTTCCTCCCACCACCCCAATCTCAGGATGTTAGAAGCCCCAGGCTCAGTCCTTGGTCCTGGTACATCTATGTCCTCCCCCAGATGAGCTGATCCAGGCTCAGGGCTTAAAATGCAACCTCTGTGCTGATGACCCCCAAATTTGATCTCCCCTAAACTCCAGGCACTTATCCCCAGCCATCCACAGGCTACCTCCCCTAGGCATCTAAGAGGTATTTCACTCTTGACATGACCTAAACTGCACTTTTTCCTTCCCTCCCACCTCTGCCCCGCAAACTGCTCCTTTGTTAGTCATCACGATCCTAGAAAAGGACACAACCATTCACCCTCAGGCTATAAACCTCAGAGTCGTCCTTGATTGGTCACTTTCTTTCATCCCCATATCCAATGGCCAATCCTGCCTGTTAGTTATACCTCCAAAATACACCTAGATTCCAATCCTTTCTCATCACCTCCTCCACCACAGCACCACCCTGGTCTAAGCCACCAGCATCTCTCACCTGGGTTACTGTAACAGTCTCCTATCTGGTCCCCTGCATCTGCCTTGCTCCCATAGGTTTTTAAAAAAATAATCTGTTAACATGTAAAGCAGACATCCTAGTAATGAAAGACTAAACAATTCAGACCAAACTTCCACAGACAACTAGAAAAGCCAGACAAATAGAAAACATCTGCTCAAAGGCGTCAGAAGCAGGAGAGAAATACAGGCCTCCGAGTGAGAGGAGCCTGGCTTTTGGAGCCGCTTCTCCCCTCCAGATGACTGCCAGTCCTGGAAGAGGAGGTTGAACAGCCAAGCAGGGCTTCAGACATCCTCAGAAGAGGATCTCGCTGTGGTTTATGTCAAAGAGTGTTTTTCCTGTGTTTTCCTCTAAGTTTTTTTTTTCTGTGTGTGTGTGTGGTACGCGGGCCTCTCACTGTTGTGGCCCCCACCCCGCCCCCTGTTGCAGAGCACAGGCTCCGGACGCGCAGGCTCAGCAGCCATGGCTCACGGGCCCAGCTGCTCCGTGGCATGTGGGATCTTCCCGGACCGGAGCATGAACCCGTGTCCCCTGCATCGGCAGGTGGACTCTCAACCACTGTGCCACCAGGGAAGCCCGTTCTTCTAAGAGTTTTATAGTGTCTGGTCTTACATTTAAGTCTTTAATCCATTTGGAGTTTATTTTTGTGTATGGTGTTAGGTAGTGTTCTAATTTCATTCTTTCACATGTAGTTGTCCAGTTTTCGAGCACCACTTATTGAAGCGGCTGTCTTTTCTCCATTGTATGTTCTTGCCTCCTTTGTCATAAATTAGGTGCCCATATGTGTGTGGGTTTATCTCTGGGCATTCTGTACTGTACCACTGATCTATATTTCTGTTTTTGTGCCAGTACCATACTGTCTTGATTACTGTAGCTTTGTGGTATCGTTTGAAGTCGGGACACCTGATTCCTCCAAATCCGTTTTTCTTTCTCAAGATTGCTTTGGCTATTCGGGGTCTTTTGTGTTTCCATACGAATTGTAAGATTTTTTGTTCTAATTCTGTGAAGAATGCCATTGGTAGTTTGATAGGGACTGCATTGAATCTGTAGATTGCTTTGGGTAGTATAGTCATTTTCACAATATTGATTCTTCCAATCCAAGAACATGGTATATTTCTCCATCTGTTTATGTCATCTTTGATTTCTTTCATCAGTGTTTTACAGTTTTGTGAGTACAAGTCTTTCGCCTTAGGCAGGTTTATTCCTGAGTATTATATGTTTTTGCAATGGTAAATGGGAGTGTTTCCTTAATTTCTCTTCCTAATTTTTCATTGTTGGTGTATAGGAACACCAGAGATTTCTGTGCATATAGGCCTCAAATTATTTCTAAACAGTTTTAACAATCTTTATACACGCTCGCTAGTGCTCAATTAAAAAGGACTAAGCTGGGGCTTCCCTGGTGGCGCAGTGGTTGAGAGTCCGCCTGCCAATGCAGGGGACGCGGGTTTGTGCCCTGGTCCAGGAGGATCCCACATGCCGTGGAGCGGCTAGGCCTGTGAGCCATGGCCGCTGAGCCTGCGCATCCGGAAGCCTGTGCTCCACAACGGGAGAGGCCACAACAGTGAGAGGCCCGCGTACCGCAAAAAAAAAAAAGATATTAATATAATTATAACCATTATAACAAACATATAAACCTTTCTCAGTATCAAAAAGTATATCAGAAAGAGAAAATAAGAGATATATTTATTTTGCAAAAAACAGAAATAATTTTAAAAGAAATAAAGAGAAAAAAGAAAAGAAAAAAATATATATATATATACACACATACACATATGCATTTGAAAGAAGAGAAAAGAAACACAGGAAAAATAAATCCAAAACAAATGAAAATGATTTCCTCTAAAAGAGAGAATAGGAACAGAATAAAGTTCATATGGATGAGAGTGAGACTTTGGAGAATACCTTTTTATACAGTTCTGACTTGTATTCAGAAAGAAAATTAAACAGAAAGGATGAAAAAGAAAACCCTAAAATTGAATTTTAATTGAAAAAAACTAAGCTAATAGTATATTGAACTGTTAACATAATCACACAGGAAAAAGAATTTAATTAACTGCACATCTTTCATGGGATATATCTTAAGGACCAAAAAAACCTCGGCAAAGACATCTTGAATTTTCTCTAGTAGATTCATTGTTCATAGTGTATTGTTGAAGTAATTCTGAAACTTTTTTGTGAGTACCTGGGGATACAGCAAGTAAGTAAATATATGGACATTGCTGGGAACTTCTCATAGTTCCAGAGACAAGATGGGATGGAGAAAGATGCAGAAGACCACATCATAGTGGATTTGAACTGGAGGTGTCAGAGATTTTACATTTTTTCTTGTTGTATGCACTGATACTACCTAGAAGCAATGGCATCCCAATAATAATGAACCCTCTTAGCATCCAGATTTTCATTTCTAAAATACCATTCTCTACCAATTCCTGATTTCAGGTGTGAGGGAATATACAAATAGATCCTGGAACATTTTGTGTATAAGTCAAGAAAATTCTCTAAGACTGATGGATTCGTGTAAAAGAACATAGATGCTGGCTTAAAGGGGCTCTCACTGGTCAAATTTGTGACAATTTGAGCATCAGAAAGAGTAAAGTGATGGATTATAACATAGTGAACTAAAATAATCCATGAGTCAATAGTAATACTCAAGAATATCTGGGTTGGGGAAGGGGGATCTTTTTTACAGAAGAATGCCAGCCAATGAGTGGTGAAGAAATGACTAGTTTAGAAATCACCTTTTTGCAAACACAAATGTATCTGTTGAGACAAGGATAAAAATCGATGCTAAAACATGGGATAAATGTTGTTTGAGAAAAGGATATTCGCCTGGTCTCAAAGTATCAAACCGTATGTTACTAATTTAATAGGGAAATGGTACCCCGTACAATGGAGAGATCTGGAAGACACCACCTTTATGAAGTGATCCAACTTGGCATCACAATGATGAGAGGGTCTGACATTGTGTTCCCTCTTGTGTGATACAATGGGAAGACAAAATACCTATCTTATATTGTGTTTAACCTGAATCTGATCGTAAATAAATTATAAAAACAAACCAAGATTGTAAAGAAAGACTGATACAACTGAACCGACTTCTTTAATGTCACAGAATATCAACTTTTTTTTTTTTTAAAGCAGGGGATTATTCTAGATTAAAGAAGACTAGAGAAACATGACAATCACTGGATACTGGATCTAAAAAGAAAGGTGGGTTGGGGGTGGGGGTGGGATGAATTGGGAGATTGGGATTGACATATAAACACTAATATGTATGAAATAGATAACTAATAAGAACCTGCTGTATAAAAAAATAAAATAAAATTCAAATTAAAAGATGAAAGAAAAAGAAAGAAAGAAAGAAAGAGAAAGAAAGAAAGAAAGAAAAAGAAAGAAAGAAAGAAAGAAAAAGAAAGATTGGGTCAATTGGAAAATTTTTGAATTGGACTAGGTATTAGATACTATAATTTTACCAAGGTTAAATTTCTTGAGTGTGATAATGGTATTAAGGTTATATAGGAGAATAATCTTATTCTTAATAGATACATGTTTGAAATATTTAGGGATAAAGTGTCATGATAAATGCAACTTATTTTCCAAATATGTGGAAAGATAGATATATGGAGAGAGAGTGAGAGAGCACGAGAAAGAGACAGAGAGACAATGTGGCAAAGTATGAACAACTGGTGAATCTAAGTGAAGTGTGTATGGGTATTCTTTCCATTTTTCTGTGGGTGTAAAACTTTTTCAAAATAAAAATATGAACATTTAGGGGAAGAACTACAAAAAACTTGTGGAATGCAGCTAAGCCAAACTTTGAGGGAAAATTATAGCTTTAAGTGCATGTACTAGAAAAGACTTTAAAGATCAATCATCTATGTATCCACCTTATAATTTGTTTTTCCCAAAATGTATCTCAAGATGAATATTTTTTAAAAAGCAACTTAAACTCAATGGAAGGAGGAGAAAAAAGCCAAGATAAAAGTAGAAACTAATGAAAGAGGAAATAAATGCATCATAAAGAAAATCAACAAAGCCAAAAGTTGATTCTTCCAAAATACAATAAAATTGATAAAACTCTTATCAAGACTGATCAAGAATGATAAGAGAAAACGCTAGTTACCAATATCAAGAATGAAAAATGGGGGCTTCCCTGGTGGCGCAGTAGTTGAGAATCTGCCTGCTAATGCAGGGGACACGGGTTTGAGCCCTGGTCTGGGAGGATCCCACATGCTGCGGAGCAACTAGGCCCGTGAGCCACAACTACTGAGCCTGCGCATCTGGAGCCTGTGCTCCGCAACGAGAGGCCGCAATAGTGAGAGGCCCGCGCACCGCGATGAAGAGTGGCCCCCGGTTGCCACAACTAGAGAAAGCCCTCGCACAGAAACTAAGACCCAACACAGCAAAAATAAATAAATAAATTAATAAACTACCCCCAACATCTTCTAAAAAAAAAAAAAAAGAAAAAGGGGCCTCATTACAGACTCTGGACATTAAGAGGATAATAATGAGAGGACGTTATAAACAATTATATGCCAACACATGACAACTTGCACAAACTGGACAAATTCCTTGGAAAGAACTTACCAAAACTGACTCAAGAAAAAATAAAAACTTGAAAGTCTTATACTTGTTAAAGAAACAGAATCTGTTATTTAAAACCTTCACATGCACACAAAGAACTCAGGCTCAGAAGATTAACCAGTAACTTCTTACAAACGTTTAAGGAGGAAATAACACCAATCTTAAGAACAAGAAACAACAACAACACAAAACCTATTCTTGCAGACTATGGAAAAGGAGAGGACATTTCCTAGCTCTTTTTATGAGACCAGTGTAACCTTGACACCAACACCTGACAAGGACATGAGAAGAAAGGAAAATTACAGACCAGTACCTCTCATGAATATGAAGAAAAAAATACTAAACAAAATATTAGCAAATCAAACTTAGGGATAACTAAAAATGATATTAAATCATGAACAAGCTGGGCTCCTTCCAGGAAAGCAAGGGCAGTTTAACATTTATTGCATTTTTTTTTTTTTTTGGCCGTGACACCCGCGGCATGTGAGATCTTAGTTCCCCAACCAAGGATCGAACCCACGCCCTCTGCATTGGAAGTGTGGAGCCTTAACCACTGGACTGCCAGGGAAGTCCCACTGCACTTTTTTAAAGGGAGAAAAATCATTTGATTGTCTTGATAATGCAGAAAATGCATTTGATATACATTTGACAGAAAGATGGGCAAAAGATTTTAACAGAAATTTCACAGACGAGGATACCCACAATGACCAATAATCACTTCCAGTCCCTCAGCATTAGGTGTGGAGTTATTGTCTATCTCCCCCCACTACGAAGGCAAGAGCCTTGACCATCTGGTTACCACTATGACTCCAGGACAATGGCTGGCAGGTGGCAGGTGCTGCAGGTAGCCAAGCATCACATACCTTCACGCATCCAAGATGCCCGCCAACATGTACCACGAACACGGTCATGTCAACAGGATGGTACGTGCTCAGGGCCACCTGGGTTGGGGTTCCTACTCACCAGGCAAGTGCCTCACCCTCCTTGAGCCTGGGTCTCCTCAGCTGTGAAGGGGCCAGTTGTGGCCAGCAGAGAGCTGCGGTGCAGAGCAGTCACACTTCTCTCACCTGCCTGTCCCCAAGGAGCTGGAAGGCTGCTGTCACATACACACTCGGACACGCACGCTCACACGTGTGTATGCATGATGCCCAGGTATACAGGCTGTTTCCTCCTGAACCCCAGAGGGTTGTAAGTGCAGTAATTTCCTGGTGAGCCAACCGGGAGTCCAGAGAGCCACTAGGGTCACAAGGGCTGGGAGGGGAGGAAGGGTGACATCACACCATAATCCCGTGAGCTTTCCCCACAGCAGGGTCCCCTGTTGAGATGCCGACCACATCCAGACCAAGCCACTGTTACAACAGGCCAGGGACACCTCCTCTGGGCTGGGTGCGCTCCGTGACAGAGGTGCCAACACGAGCCCCACTTCACAGGTGGGGAAACCGAGACTTGTCCAGAGTCCCCATTCTCCTCTGCACCAAGGGCATGACCCACAGGCCGACTCCTGAATGGGTCTGAAGCAGCTGACGAGACCCAACCTGCGGGGCCCAGCCCCTCCCCACCCCTGACTCCAGGGCCCCACAGGACAAGCACCCTGGGCCCCCCGCCGGCTCCCTTTACAACCACCCACATGGCCACTGAAGCTCTGGCCTTTACGATCCGAGCCCAGGGTCTGGGCAGGCTGGAATCCTGGGCGGAGGGTGGGGACCCTGGGAAGACTCCACCCTCCAACAACCCCGGAGAGATTCCCTCTCTGCAGGGGCAGCAGAGCAGGACAGTCCCAGCTGGGCCCGCTCATGCTGTGACACCCTGCTGGTCCCTTCTGTGCAGGCCTAGTTTCCTCTAAGTCAAGTGGAACTATGAACCCTCCGCTCAGGATCCTGTGTGGCGTTTCCAAGTGGTCACAGCAGACAGACATCACAAAGCCAAAAAATCACCACTAACCCTGGTCTCCCTAGAAGGCAAGCGCTCACGTGGAGCCTTGGAACTCCCAGTTTGAACATGAGCCTAACACACTGGCATCACGCAGGATGGGACGGACCTCGTTGTCACCGTGCTTCTATCGTGTGTACACTAGGCTCGGAGCCGGATCCTCCCCCAGGGGCTCTGGCTGCTGCAGGAGTCCCAGCCCCACTGAGAGAACCCAGTGCTCACAGGGTGGAAGGAGGTGGGGTCTAGGAGGCCCTTGCAGGATCTCCCCAGCCCTGCCAGATCATGTGAGCCTCTGTCCCACAGCAGCTGTGGCAGCTCCAGGCTCTCTCCCACCCCTGGTTTCTTAGAACAAGAACAGGAAGTGGAACGCCGAGGACATGAAACACTTGGGGGGAACCACATCTGCTCACCTCACCAGCGAGAGTTGCAGAGCAGAGACCCCAACCCCCAGCCCTCCAAAACCCCCAACAAAGACTTGGGGAGACACAGCAGGCCCGGAACCCCCTCGCAGATCCGTGGCAGCAGCCCCCCACCCCTGGGGGCCGCGTCCCCATCAGTGGTCTCTGGGTCTGAAGCCCCGACTTGTTTGCATCCTTGCAAATATGGGCTCAGGGGGCACAGCGCCTCTGCAGTTCTCAGAGCATTGAGAGGGGTCATTCCCCTCCTGGCCCCTGGGAGCCCTCTGGGAAGACCAAGCAGTCTGCCCCCAACTTGTCCCTGTCATCCAAGAGGGAGCCCTGAGGGAGGGGACAAAGCACCCTGAGAAGAGCCTGAGGACCAGGCCAGAAGGCGGCAGGGCAGGGACAGACGAACAGACAGATGGAAGATGAAGGGAGGAAGGAATGAATGAAACCAAGGGAGAAAGCACGGAAGAGGGGTGACCCCGGGACGAAGGGGGCATGGATGCCACCTGCCCAGTGGTGCCCTGGGTGGGACTCAGACACACTGCCCCTTGGTCCAGGACAGTCCTCTTTGGTTCACAAAGCACTTGACTCTGACAATGGCCCTTGAGGCAGATATTCCGGGAAGCAGACTGAGCCGGCAGGGAGGGGGCTGCTAGCCCAGGCTCCCACAAGCCCAGAGTGGGGCAGGGGCCAGGAGGGGCGTGCTGCGCATCCTGTCCTGGCAGGCAGCGGAAGCCTCCTGTGGGCTGGGCTTCCTGGAAGAGCGTTGGGAAACATCAGTTGGGGCCCCTCTCCACAGCCCCCCTGCCCCGGCCCACCGAACATCAGTCACTCTGCCTGCCACTGGCCTGGCTCCAAGCCTTGACACACAGAGGGGAGGCCGCAGGGGACATGATGCCATCAGAGGCCAGTTTTCCAGGGCCAGGAGGGGAGCCTGGTCCTGGCAGGCAGTCCTCACATATGGAGCCCCTGAACCCCCTCACCCATGTCCCTGGGGAAAGACACCAGCCTTGGAAAACTGCCAGGGCTTCTCTGAAGGGGCCGGGACCAGACAAGCAACACTGCAGCAGTGCCCTCGCTGGGCCTCCCAAGCCCTGGAGCTAGGATCAGCCTCACACACCACCTCTGCTCTGCCCACACTGTTGTTACCCTGTGCACCCCTGCTACCTGGTCTGTGCAAGGGCCCTGAGGCTGCTTCCTTACTGGAGCCCAAACCCACACGACCCCCACATGCCAACATGCACACACGTGTGCCTTCTCCACACTCTCGCCACTGGTCACAAAGTCTCCAGGAGGGGTCAGCGCCAAGGGCCACCCAGTTCCCACCCACTTCCTACTCACCGTCCAATGTCCGAGCAGATCTTAGAGTCCGCAGCAACCGCAGCATGGGCAAAGGCCTGGGGGCCACAGTGGACACGGTGCCAAGAGACGACCACGATAGGCACAGTGATGGCCAGCGCCAGCCCCAGCCCCAGCAGGACCATGCTGACCATGGCCCCGTGGCCCTGGGCCATGGCTCTGTGGTCCAGGGGGAGAGAGGAGGTAAGTGGGCACACACACCAGTGGGCGGAGAGATACAGAGAGACAGGTGGATGAATGGACAACAAGATGAGCAGATGGACTCACAGATGATGGGACAGATGGACAAATAGACCGGAGCCAGAGACAAACAAATGGATTGACAGCCAGATGGCTGGACAGAGAAGGACGGTCAGATGGACAAGCGGACAGAGTCAGGATTACAGATAGATAGACAGACAGGTTTCCAGGCGAACAGCGGGCAGCCAGGCGGACAGGTGGGAATGTGGATGGGCGGCTGGCAGCGGGGCTGCTGCCTTCCTCCAGCGCCCACCTCAGAGGCAGAGCTGGCCACCCGCCTGGACTTCCAGTTTTCAGCCCCTGTCTTGGCCCTGGCAAGACGCCAGGCAGCAGGGTGTCTATGGGGACTTTTTCCTGCCAGAGAGGAGTCAGCGGCTGCCATTAACTCCCTCACTGCTGTTCCCACCGCTTGTCCCCTGAAAGCCTTGGTACAATCACCCCTCCCACCGGCTGCCAATGCCCAGGGCTACCCTGTCCCGTCCTGTCCTGTGTGTGTGAGGACTTGGTGCCTGCTTGGCTTCCCAGGGGAAGCTGGGGTGCAGGCCTCCCAGGACCCTCCCCTGGATCAGGCTCAGTGGGGCAGGGGGCCAGGGCAGAACCCCAACTCACCTCCTCTTCATGGGGCCCCACCCAGCCGCAGCTCACCGCAGCATCCTCAGAGCCAGAGGACACTGGGGCTAAAGGGGACCAGAGGCAGACACAGGGGGACCCAAGGCAATGTCAATCAGGACCCGAGTTCAAGTCCCAGCTCAGCTGAAGCCAGGGCAGGGGGGTGGCCAGGGGTGACCAAGAGGGGACTTGGCTTCCCTGTCTGCTCAGGGGAGGCGACTGGAACACCAAATGCCCAGGACAAGACTTCTGTGTGGGGAATGAAGACAGGGTCTGCGTCCAGCCCTTGGCACACAGTGCCCACCGGACTGTCCACCCCTGGGGCCTGCTGTCCCGGAAATGCCACTGGGCCTCAGGGAGCGGGCTTCCCTTCCACCTGCATCTCTGCCCATCCCTGGTGAAATGTCTGCTTCCCTCTTCCTGAGCTGACAGCACCTCCTCTCCTGGGGGCACCGGCCTGCACCCTGCCCTGCCCAAGCCTCAGGGTGCCCAGCTGGGAGGTGGCTGGGAGAGTGGGGGCTCCCCGAGGTGCCCCCTTTGACGAGACTCAGCAAGGCCCAGGGTGCAGGGGCTGGACTCCCACCCCCAGAGCCCCCACGTTCTCCCAGCTTCCTTTCCAGCTGAGCTTTGCCCTCCCCAGGTCTCTTTACCCCTTCTGGCACAGCAGAGAAACTGAGACACGTGCCCACACAGCCACAGAGCCTGCCAGGCCCCCCTTTCCGAAGCCCCTGCCAGCCTGAGCTGGAGGGGCTACTGGGGCACCCTTGGGGGGTGGGGAGGGCTGCGGTCACCTCCCACCACCCCCACCGGACCCCCAAACCACAGTGACATTGCTCAACCAGGAACCAGAGTGCATTCCTGGGCCAGGGCCAGCCCGGGAGGCAGAGGAAGCAGGGACAGAGAGGTCGGCAGGGTCAGGGTGGAACAACGCCCCCTCTCCCCAGCCTTCCTGGTCAGGCAGAGGCCAGGATGCAGGGGCTGCTAGAGCGAAGGCCCAGGGAAGGAACAGGCATTGTGCTGGGCTGGCCAGAAGTACGATCAGGGAGGCACAGCCAGGAAGGGCCCTGGACATCCGTGTCCAGGAGATGAGGGGCGGGAAAGAGAGGGGAAGCCAAGGCTCCAGGGGGGAGCTGAACCCCATAACGGCTGGGGAACTGGGGTGCACCCTGTCCACGTGCTGGGGCCCAGGGAGTTCCAGGCCAGCCCCCACCTCCGCTGGAGCAAGGCCCGCCCCTCAGGCCTCAGTCTTCTCCCCTTTCCTCTGGGGCTAAAATGAGGGCTGAGGAGAGACCTGCCCACCCCACCAGCTCAGCCTCCATCTTGTCCCCCCATGCCCCAGGGACCCCAAAGATGCCACCCTCCAGGGCTCAAGGCTCAGACATGGGAGCACTCTGCAGACCAACACCCTGTTTCCCTGTGGGCACTTTGGAAGCATCAGGATTTTCTGCCTCATGAAGGAGAGCCCAAACCTGGGCTCTCCCAGCCCTGTGCCCCTGCCCTCAGGGGCCCCCACTGGTGCTCACTAGGCAGCGGGATGTCTTGCTGTCGTGCTGGGACGCCCTCACCCCTGCCCGCCTCCCCAGGTCTTTCCCAGCACCTCACCTTGGGCGTTACAACTGTGTATAAAGGATGAGTTAGGAGGCCCTGAGGGAGGGAGGGGCTGGCCCCGGTGGGGGAGGCTGGGTGCCGCGTCTTGTGGTTCTCCCCCACCCAGAGCCACCCTCCCTGGGGTGCTGGCCCAAGCCCTGACCCCTGGGGATTTGGCGACCTCTTCCAGTTCATGGATCCCTGAGAACCGGGCTTCCTTCTGGAATGGATCACAGCTTGGGTTTCACTCTGGGTTTCTGCTTGGAAAGCCCCCTGGGCCTGGCCCTGACCAACATGTTTTGCTCCAGCCTCTTGCCCAATCCCACCCCCACCCAGACCTCAGCTTCACCTCAGTGTGTGCTGGTTATGGTGAGGCTGGACACCCGCCGGGCTGAAGAGGTACCAGGGCTCCCAGGAGGAAACGCCAGGGCCATGCGCCCCCTGGTGGCTCACACTGGGAAGTGCTGCTGCCCAGCCCAGGGAAGAAGTGGCCTGGCTCTCGTCGTGGGGCTCAGGGTGAGGAAGAACAGTGCTTGGCATGGCCCACCCTGGGCCCCCACCCCAGCCCTGCACCCCCAACTCCCGCCCCGTTCCAGTGAGAATGCTGAGGCTGGCTCCAGTGCCTGAGCTGTCCAGACCTCTGAATCCCTTCTCTCCATCCTTCCCTGCCGGGTGGCCCCACTTCACACAGAATGCTGAGGCCCAGGGAATTGGGAGCTGGCCGGCAAGACCGCCCAGAGCCTGGCACTGCAGCCCCCATTTATTGCACTGCTTTGCCGCTCACAGGGGAAGCATGTCCCCCGAAGTCCCACTCCCAGCCCCCCACCCCCAGCGGACATCTCATCCCTGGGCTGCTGGTCCACCTTGCCTGCCTGAGTACTCAGTAGCCCGCAGGCTCCCCGCCTTTCCTGGAGTCTGAGGCAGCCGCCCAGCCGCCAGCTGTGCGGACAATGGCCTGTACCACAGCAATGAAGGTAGAAGTGACCTCGGTGTGGTGGTGCCGGGTCTTCAGGGCTGCAGCCACTGCCTAGGGGTGGGAGGGAGAGGGAGGCCTCAACGGGGGCCCAAGACACCATCTGAACCACACCTGTGTGGGCATGGGTTCCAAAGACACAGGTGGTGCCATTTCTGTCTGAGTGGCCACGAAGAGCAAGTTGGGGGCAGCTGGGCCGACTGGGTCTCATCGGAACGGGTGGCCTGGCCCTCAGAGCATGGGGTGCAAAGTGGCCCAGGCAGCGGGCATGAGGGTCATCTGCCCCAGGCAGAGGACAGCAGCCATCGTCCACTCCGCAATGACACAGGAGACCCAGGTCCTGTTCCAGGATTCCCAGGGGCCCCCACTGTGACTCAGCACCACCCCCCAACCTGGTCAATGTCTTTCTCCAGCGTCGTGGTGTTGGGCAAAAGCTGGTTGTGCAGCCGGGGCTCCTCCACCGCCTGCTTCACATCGTAGCCGAACCACAGGCTGTGGATGATGGCCTGCGGATGAGGGGATGGGGTCAGTGTAGCCCAGCGGGCAAGGGGCTGGGGGCACAGGCAGGTGGCACATACCAGTGCAGTGGACGTGGTGATCTGCGTGCCCCCGGAGGCACCCACCACCATGCGGACCTGGCCATCCTGACCCACGATGATCGCCGGGCACATGGACGAGAGCGGCTGTTTCCCTGCAGCCGGCCGGTGGGAGGGAGGGGACAGAGGAGCTGGTCAGCTGCCTGCTGGGACACCAGCCCCCTCCCCACCCAAGCCCTGTGCCCACACCTGGTGTGATGAAGTTGGCCGGTGAGGGGGGCACCCCGAACTGGTTGATGATGTTGGGGGAGCTGAAGTCATCCATCTCATCGTTAAACAGGATCCCATTGGCCCGTGACAGCACCTTGGAACCGAAGCTGCAGACCAGCTGGGTCAGAGAGCTGTGCCCACCCCTGCCCCGTCCCACCAGCCCCACGTGCCCACCAAAGTGCCAACACGCTCCCTGGGGAGCTGGGGGCCAGCACTCTACCAATGTGGAGCCCCCCTTCTAGGACACGCAGGCAGCCCCGGCCCACCCGGCCACCCAGCAGCCCTACTAGAGGTTGATGGTGCTGGTGGCCGACACAGCACTGCCATCCTCTGAGACCACGGACAGGTGGGCGGTGCCCCCGTCATCCGGCGTGTAGAACTCAGGCTCATAGTAAGAGGCCGGGTGAGTGGTGTCATCGGAGATCCGGGCCCGGAGCTGGGCAGCGAAGAACTCGGAGCTCATGTTGCGGACCACCTGCCGAGACCCCAGAGCTGGCCTGAGGAGGTGAGGGAGGTGGGGAGGGGGATGGGCTTGTGCGAGCAGCTCTCAGGAAGCCCCCAGCCATGGCTCTGACCATAACCCTCTTGCACCCAAAGTCTCACGTGGCCCGTCTGACCCCCTTTCCCCAACCTCTGTCTCTGTTGCTGTCCAGCAACTCTGAATGTCTGTCCGTCCTCGGAGTCCCCACTCTCATTGCATCCAATCATTCATTCATTCAGGGAGCTTGTAACTTCATGCCCAGCACTGGGGGATCAGCAGGGAACAGACGCGCAGGTCCCCACCCTCACAGCAGGGAAGACAAAGGCAGGCAGGGATGTGCTGGAAAGAACAAGCCAGGTGAGGGGGGTGGAGTGTGATGGGGTGGGAGCAGAGTGGTCAGGGAGGGCTTCTCAGAGAAGGTAATATCTGAAAAAGCCACCTGAATGGTAATGCAAAGGCCCTGAGGCAGGCCTGTGAGTGACAGGCAGACAGTGAATGGGGTTAGGGAGAGAAGAGGTTGAAGATGCCAGCAGGGGCTGATCCCATAGGTCCTTACAAGCCCTATAAGGACTTCAAAGCCACCTGTGCTTAGGGAAGAGGAGTGATGGGTGTTATCCCTCTGGCAGCTGTGTGGGGGTGAAACCCAACTGGGAGGCTATGATATCCACCAGGTGAGAGATGCTGGGGGCTCACCAGGTGGAAAAGAGGAACGGAGAAAGGCCCCAAGTCTTCAGTCTATAGTGGCCGCTAACTGGGGCAGGTTGGGAGCCTGATTTGGGAAAGGAGCTCGTCGGACCCTGAAGAATCTGTCTCAGGTGGGTGATGGGCCACACCTGATGTGTTGAGTTCATGGGCAAGGCAGGGCGCAGGAGGCTGAGCAGAGGAAATGCCTCCAGAAGGTTCCAGCAACACCCATGAATTAAGTGACTAATCCAAGGGGAAAACGTTCAGCCTGAATCTACTTCCAAGGAAACAGGGTTGAATCCAGGAATTCGGACATCCTAAAAGACAACTGCCCTGGGCCTTAAAATCAACCAAACAGCCCAGGGGGTCCATTGAGGCTAAGAGACGGCAGACGTGACAGCAACAGCAGGTGTGAGCTTGACAGGCTGGGGGCCTCAAGACACGGATGGGACCCTTGGGGAAAGGCCGACCAGACATCTAAAAAGGAAAAAACAGGGAGAGCAAGGGGGAAACGGATGGAGATGGGGAGAGAGGAAGGAAATGTGCCGAAACGTCCATAACCTTGCAAATTAAAAAGTCAAGGGAGGGAGGTGCTGGTGAACGTGGTGAGATGCTGCAGAGAGTGGGCCGAAGGGGAAACGGAGGCTGGTCTCAGGACCTGGCAGCGCAGGTATGGAGGGAGGGAGGAAGGGCGGGCACCAGGGGAGAGGGCTCCAGAGAGGAGATGGTGGCCAAGTTTGCCCCAATGGGGAGCAGAGGGACGGGGAAGCAGCTGGAGGGTTCTGGACCCACAACCATACACTTCTTTCGGAAATGACCCATCAGAAAGGGCAGACTGGGAACCCAGGAGGGAGAGCAGCAGTGTAGGAAGGGCGTGCAGTCAGAGAGTGGATGAGCAGAAGGCCAGTCTCAGCCAGGAGGGAGGGCAAAGAGGGGCATGATGCACTGGCTTCCACCACCTCAGGGATGCCAGGTGCTGATGTGGGGAGCAGTGAGTGCAAAATCATCCCCAGGTAAGAGAAGAGGGGCTGCTGAGCAGCTGTGGGAGGTCACAGGTCAGTGTGAGGGGGTCTGCGGGTCTACCTTGCAGGGAGGGGGGGACCCAAGTAGGTAATGAGGGATGTGATCGGGGTGGAGGTGGAAGTCCAGCCTGGAGCCGGGGCACCTGGCGAGTGGGTAGGTCGGGCAGTGCAGGGCCTGGGTGGGGATCTGGGAAGTTAGCTCCTGGGTGTGACCAGGGAGCACGTGGCTGGGGCCTCTGCCCACCTGGAACACTGGTCCCCTCCCCTGAATCCACCCTCCTCCACCCTGAGGGCTCTGATGCCCCTGTGCATTCCTCACCTCGGCACTGACCACTCCAGAGCCTTCCAGGCCAAGGACACAGCACATGCAAAGGCCCCGAGGTTGGAATGTGGCAGAGGAGGGCACTATCACTCCCTGACAAGTCTGTCTCTCCCACCCTGTGAGCTCCGTGGGGCAGAGGCTAGGACTCAGGGTCAACAGTCCATCCTAGCACACAGTAGGCCCGAGGGCAAGTCAGTGGCAGAAATAGATGAATAAAGGCTGAGTGAGGCTGGGGTGGCCCGGGGAGCCCTCCTGGCATCTCCATGGTAGGCCCCCCACCCATCGAAGGCCAGCCCCTGCCCTTTACCTCAGTCATATTGACAAACTTGGGGTCCCCAAGCAGGGTCCTCTTGGCGTAGGCAAACCGGAAGGCCTCCACTATGCGGTGGTAGGTCAGGCCCTTCTGCTCAGGTGTCTCCACGCTCTCCCGGGAGAAGTTGTACCCTGGTTGGGCAGAGCCAGGCAGGTTGGTGGTCCCGGTGGCCCCGGGACATCCCAGCTCGGCCAGGACAGCTGAGTGCCCTGGAGAGGGGGTGGTCCACGCCTCCCTGACCCACCTGGTTCACCTTGAGAAGGGGGACGTTTAATAACCAACAGCAGTGGCTGCTTGGGAGGCGGGGGAGGATGGAAGGAAGCAAGGGTCCCCCAGGACTGGGCCTCACATGTCAGCCACAGGTCTACCCAGTCCACGGGGTCACAGATGACCACTCAGATTTACCAGATGTGCCCTTTGGACCAGGCCGCCCAGCATGAACTCTGGCACTGAGAGCCACCCCGTGACCTCACATGGCTGTGCCCACCCCCAGGACGCTGCTCTGCAGGGCCGCGGAGGGCAGCTGACCTTTGAGGATGTTGAGGATGAGGGCCAGCACTGGCCCGCTGAGCGGGGCACTGGGCACATAGAGCTGGGCGTCCCCGAGGCTGATGCTGAGTGGGTGCTCGATCAGCCTTGCGCGGTAGTTGTTCAGGTCCTCGGCCGTCACGATGCCCCCTGCATGGGGTGACACGGAGATGGGGCACACTTCTGGGGGGCCATCAAGCAGGGAGCCCTGTCTATCCCCGGACCTCCCTGACAGTGCCACCTTCCTCTGGCCAGGTCCAGGCCAGCGCCCTCCACCTGCTGCCCCACTGACCTCGGGGTCTGTCGTCTGTCCTCTTGGCGGCCAGAGGATCTTCTCTAAGTGGGAGATATCTGCTCCCATCCCCCACTTCCCCTACCTCCGCCCCCCAGTCCCCTCCTCCTATGACTAATGGGTGGGTGGAGGGAAGCTCTTAATTCTCTAGGGAAATGGCTCCAGACATACCAAGTATTTACAGGCTAATTTCCGATGTCAGCGGTAAAGGTCAACATGCTAATCACCCTCCTCCCTGACACACTGGAAAAACTAACATGAAGAGGCCATGGCTCGGTGAGGGAGAGGCAGCATGGGGCTCCTGAACCTATAAGAACCTGCCCACAAGTTCCCAACCGCAGGCCCTGCATGCAGCTCCTCCCATGCCTCGCTCACCAAGTCCACCCTCATCCCCTGTGATCCTCCTGGAGAAATAAAAGCCTTCTCTCCGGGCCTCAAACTGTTCTCTCTGCTTACAAAGTCCAACCTCACCTGTGGCTCAGGCACCACCTCCTCCAGGAAGTCCTCCAGGGTCTGTACTTTAGCGCTTCCCCAACCCTGGCTCCTGCCTACACCTGCATTCCCCCCACCAGGGTTTTCTCTCCTGGACTGCAGGGTTTCTCTCAGCTTTGACTTAACCAGGAGCTGTGGATCCGTGTGGCCTGTCATTAACTGCAGACACATCTGTGACCCTCCCCTGCCAGACACTCCCTGAGGGCCCAGTGTCCAGGCCAGGTAGGACCCAAGGACCCCAGGCTCAGTGTTCCCGCTGTGGAGTTCCTGGCCCCAGGCCCCTGAGGTCGCCCGCTCACCGGCCTCCTGGATGTCCTTGACAATCTGGGCCGTGAGGCTCCCGTTGTAGAAAGCCTGAGCGCCCTCCAAGGCCAGCGTCTCGTAGGTGTCGGCCAGCCGAGGCATGGTCACTCGGTCCCCCTCCCGCAGCACCTTCCCATCCCGGCAGAACACCTCGCTGGGGCAGAGGGGGCTCCCGTGAGGCAGGCAGGTGGGGCGGACTCAGCCACCCCACTCACACACACACAAGAGAACAAAGGATGGGGTGCCCCTGTCCACAGAATCCAGCCCAGGTGGGGCCGGGACCCCACCCCCAGGCTCAGAACAGGCAGGGCTTTGGTCCCTCGTTCAGCGCAGGTTCCTGAAAGTGCCACCCGCTCTTGCCCACCAGTAGGGACCACAGACGTACCACAGCTCAGGGTGCCGCTGGATAGCAGCCTGGCTTCTCTGCAGGGCTCCCGCCAAGCTCTTCCCCACAGGGAAGCCCTGGCGGGCCAGCTGGATGCTGGGCTGGAAGAGGCGAGCCCAGGGCAGCCGCCCGTGCCGCTGGTGTGCCAGCTCATAGCCGCGGATCTCGCCTGGAACCGCCACCGACAGCCCACCTGCGAAGGAGAGGGACACAGCTAGTGGCTCCACACGGGGGATGTTCCAGGCACAACCCCAGGTGGGACCAGTGAGGCTCAGGAAGGACATAGATTTTTGAGGTCACATCTGGACTCAGAGGCATGAGTGTGGCTCAGCTCAGCTGTCTGATGAGGGCACAGGAGGGAGGGGCGGTAGCACGTGTGCTGGGTTCCGCTGTCCCAGGCCTGGATGCCTGTCTCCGCAGGTGCCACCGTGTCTGAAATCCTGTGCCAGGCCCACGGTTGCACAGCGAGAGTATAAGGAAGCCAGACCTCACCATCTCTCAGTTTGAGCCTCCTGGGCCACGAGGCCCCTCATCCCATAAGGCTCAAGTGTTCCTCCAAAACCCGCCAAAGCCCCCAGTGCAAGCCCAGGCCACTCTCAAGGCTGGGCTGGTCCCAAAGCAAGGGGCTCTCTTCCTCTCTTCCATTGTCCCAAATGGGACCCGAGCCCAAACCCCTGCCCTGTTCCCTCTCTGGGTCTTGGTTTCCCTATCTGACCATAAAGAGTTTTGTTTCCCAGCACTGTCCTTTGAGGAGCCATGATTCCCCTGGAAACAGAGCCCTGGACCCTCGTTCCCCACTAGGCCTCGCTGCCCCTGCCACACCCTAAAGCCAGCACTGACCCAGAAAGTTTCAGCCACAGCCTCGGCTCCCAGACACCCTCCTGCTTTCAACCCTGAGATGCAGGGTAGGGGGGCACACCCAGGCTTGGCGGCTGCAGCTCTCGAGCTGCCTCTCCCACCCTGAAGTGGGGCATGAGGTTCCAAGAGCCGGGTTGTTACGACATTGGCACATCCGGGAAGGTTTGACACCCAGCACACAATTCCTCCCCCTTAAATAAGTGCTACCCTGACCTTGGTCAATCAGGCTCTCACGCCACACTCTCACCAAGGTCACCAGTGACCCCCACGCTGCCATCGCAGGGTCTCTTTCTCATCTTACCTGGCCCATCACTCTCTCTTCCTGTGTCACTTCTGCATCTCCCTGCCCTCTCCTCTGTCTGCACCAACTCTGGGTGCCCTCCTCCATGTCAGGCTGCAGGGTCCATTACATGCTGACAACTCCCAGACTGACTCTTCGGCCTGCTCCCCTGATGGCCAGATCTGAGGACGCACCTGCCCACTTGAAAAACGCTTCTCAAACTTAACACCTTGCTGGTCTCTGTAAAGGCCACCCTGTCCTTCCAGGTGCAGACCTGAGACCCCAACTCACCCGAGACTCCTGGGTGAGCGTCACACCCAACCCATCAGCAAATCTGCAGCTCCGCCCTCCAAGTGTGCTCGGCCCAGCCACCAGCCGCCAACTTCACCTCTCCCTGGTTATCACCGTGACATCCTGATGGGCCACCTGACGGGCAGGTAACTTGCTCCTCCTCTTTCACAGCAGCCTGAGGGGGTTCCATCAGAAAGCGGCCAGATCCACCCAGGTCCCCCTTTCGACTCAGGGAACACCTTTACCTCACTCAGACATGATGACCCATGAGGTCCAACATGACCTGGGCGGTTCTACCTGACCCTGTGTCCTCCTCTTTCCCCCAGACACCCCCACGGCTGCCCCCAGCCCCAGCCTCTGGGTCTTTGCTCACGTGCCCTGACCAGGGCACCTGATGAACCCACAAGCCCTCCAACCCTTCCCACCTCTGCTTCCCAAGCAGTGCTGTGGCACATGGCACACCCATGCGTGCTATCTCTCCCTGTTCCACCTGGAATGTGCATTTCACCTGTTACCTTTGTTTCTACTGGCTTAGGGAACAGCCCCTGATGCTGTAGGAGGTGCCCAACGAGCCCTAGTTAAATATGTGAATTCCAAGCATCCAAAGATGCTAAGTCTGTAAGATTCCCACAATCTCACACTCTGAATGATTTCATTTCTACACTGAGTTTCCCAATGGGTAAAAATTCAAAGACTGTGTTGGAGGGGATTCCAAAACGACTGCTCTCAGCACCCTACACAGGGCTCCACCTGCAGGAGGGGTCCTGCAAAGCCTGCAGGAGGGGTTCAGACCCACTATGGCCTTTAATCCCCGCCCCTCCTTCCCTCCAACCTCATCCTGCAATCCACTGGGGTCCTTGCAGGGGCGCCCCCTGGTGGCCATTGATTTCCCTTGGCTGCCTGGGGAGTTGCAGGGATTTCCTTCCTGGCTTAAGGACAGGTTAGAAAAGAGAGACTCCTTCCCATACTCTAGAGAGCTATCCCCACCGATGAACAAACGAACGAACGAATGAATGACTTGGATGCCCTTTAAAAACCCAGGGTTTAGATAGCCTGGGTTCAATCCCAGCTTTACCACCATCCAGCTGTGTGACCTTAATCAGTTTACATGACCTCTCTGGGCCTCAGCATCCCCACCTGTAAAATGGGAATCAACACCACGCTCCCCCTGCCAAGCGTACAGGGAGGATTCAAGGGGCTCATCGGTGAAAAGGGCTGAGCAGAGTGCTGGCCCCAGGACCCTGGCACATGCAAGCTGTTGTAATAGTAATCACTCTTTCTGTGTTCTAGCTCCGTGTGGCCCTGGAGGGACCTGAGCAGAAATAACAGAAGCTCTCTTTACCCTCTGTGATGATGGGCTTGACCAATCATTATGGAAGGTTTTGTGGGGCCAGGAAGGGATGGGAGGGGACTGCCAGAGCCACTCCCAGCCCCAGATGGGATGGGGGGAATATGGAGGGTGGGGGGCGGGTGCTCATGCCTTCCAGCAGCTCGTCCTGCCCCTGCACCCACACCGAGCCCGCACTCACCTTCCTCTGACTGCTCTGAGCTGTTGAACATGCCGGCAGAGGCCAGCTGAGGGGCCACCTCTCGAGCATTGATGACCTCAGCCTTTCCTGGAAGAAGAAGCATGTGGGCAGTCCGGACCAACACCAGCCCCTCACTTGTGTGAACCTAGGAGTTGCCCAGCTCTGCCTGCCCAGCCCAAGTGCAGCCCCTCCCACCCTGCCAGCCACTCACGTGTGGTGCTGTTGTAGATGGTGAGAAACAGGCCACCCCCGATGCCCATGCTGTGTGCGTTCATGAGCCCCACGCACAGCAGGGCTGCGATGGCAGCATCCACCGCTGAGCCGCCGTCCAGCAATGCATCCCTGCCAGTGGCACGTGCCGGGAGTGAGAGCCGGCGGGGTCTCTACCCTCCGAGATGCGCACCCCTCCATACACCTCCCCACCGCCTGGCCACACTGCCCAAAGGAGGATGGAGAGGAGCCCATAGTTTCTGATTTTTTAATGTAAAAGACTGTTGTATTCTAAAACCAACGGGCTTAAATGTTCCTCTTTTTCAAGCAAACAGATGTACGTGACTTATAATCGGAAAAAAAGGGGAAATTGTTACTTTTTATTAATAACATCTTTTTTCTGTTTAAGTTTTTAAGTGAGAACTGATCTTTGTACATGTGAGCTAGGGGTCTAAAAATAAAACAGCAGAGTTTATCTGAAGAGACAGACACCCTTGAACTGAGAAAAGGGCTCAGCTGGACACTGGGAGACCCACACCCTGCTCTCAGGGCCAGTGTCCCCTTCTCCCCTGACCAGAAGCTGCTGAGAAGGTCCAGGGACAGGATAGGCAGCTGCACGCACACCGAACACCCCTCATCCAGGCAGCCTGTTTACCAGTGGCGAAACTGAGTCCCAGAGAGGCGAGGGTCTTGCCCAGGTCCACTTACGGTGGCTGTCTTCCAGGGCCTGTGTCCCCACACCCTGCCCCACTCACCTCCCGATCTCTGAACAGCGCTTGGCATCCGCGGCCACGGCAGCTCTGGGGTACACATGGCTGTGGGGCTTGAAGGTCTCAGGCAGCCAGACGCAGAGGCCAATGATAAGGAGCATTAGGACCACGGCCACCAGGGCCAGCAGCATGGACCGCTTCTTCATGGCTCTGCGGGCATGGGGGATGGGAGGGTAGAAGGTCAGGGGGCCACTGCTGACCTGGCCTTGGGCACATCATCGCCCCACAGGGCACAGCACAAAGTCGAGCCTCAGACATATGTCCTCATGTCTCCTTCCGGCCCCCAGAATGCATGGGCCACCCAGCCCCCAGATTTTTGCTCAGGCCACTCCCTCTGCCAGAAGCTCCTGGTCCTACCTCTGCCCCCCAAATCCTCCTGCTTATCCTCGGGGCCCCCTCCCAGTAAGGACCCCATCTCCAGCAGGGAGCCCCCCGGATTTCACTTCCAGAGAGGAGCCCCTGATCCTGCAGGACCTTGTCTGTCCTGTGGCAGAGCCCTCCACCACCAAGCCAGTCACTCCGGGAGGCACAGGCCTGGCCTGATTCCTTCCCGGCACTGTTCTTGGGTCCCCAGAGTGACCTGCCACAGAGCGTGGGGTTCAGCTTTTGTTGTGTCCTCAAAGGGGGCACCCACAGTCTCCTGAAATTATCAGATGAGCCACCGTGGGACCAGAGCCTACCTTCCTCGGTGGGTGGGAGCCCTGAGCCTCCCAAGGAGGTGGCCACAAAAGATGGTTTTGGCTGAACAGGCCGGAGAAATAACTGAGGTCTCCTTCACGCTCTGCAGGAGCCTGTGGCCACAGAATCTGCTCCAGGGAGACTCCCAGACCACGCAGTCTGCTTGTTCTCCTGAAAATGGAGCAGGTGTCTCTGAAGCGGGCTGGGCCTGCCCTCCGGGGAGCAATGTGAGGTGTCTCTGCCTCTGATGAACTCTGTCAGCCACTCCCATGTTGGTGAATATTCCGTCCCCACAGTGCATTTCTCCCCTGCACAGCAAGGGTGTTGCACAGAGCAGGGCAGGGAGCTGTCATGTGACCAAGGGGTGAGGGCCAGCGTGCCAGCCGAGGGGATGGAGCATGGGCTCTGGGGCCAGCCTGCCCTGTCTCACCTGTGTGGGACCTTGGGCAAGTCACTGACCATCTGACCATCTGTCCAGTGGAATGACAGAAGGGCCTGCTGGGAGTATTGTGAAGATGAAGTGGGTTGGAAAGCATGAAGTGTTAGGTAAGTGTTGGCTATGTTGGGGGGGCCTGGAGGTCTGTGTATGGCAGAGGGGAGCCGGTCAGCCTCCACTCACTGTTTATTTCCCTGTTGACTTCCTGCCAGGCTGTGAGGGAGGGATGGAAGTAATCCTTGGGGTCCCCGTGGCAATGGCAGCAGGCGAGGGGTGTGACCCCAACGGGGGAGGAGAGGTGTGGTGACAGAGGCAGGGTGCCTCCTCTCCTGGACTCAGTTCCCTCCAAAGGGCGATGTCTGCTGGAGAGCCCAGGGCTGGGACCCCTCTGGCTACCCTGTCCCTATTCACAGGGTCTCCTAGAGCTGGTCTAGGAATGGAGTCCCACCCAACGTGGGGGCCCAGACCCCAGCACAGAAGGGCTTTCTCCTCCCCAAGCTCAGGGGGCGGTCACACAGCAGACTACCACCCCACACCCCCAGCAGGGTCCAAGCCAGCCTCCTCTCTGTCTTGACCACCTTGACCGAATCTAGGCACCACCGTTTCTCGCTGGACACCCTCCCATCCCCCACCAGCACTGCCTGCTCTGCAGTCCTCGGAAGAGCGGTCAGAAGGCAAGGCTCTCTCCAAAGAGCCAGCCAGGTCCTGCCGCCACCGCTGCCCTGAGGACAGGCCATGCCCTCTGCCAGGCCTGACAGCTCTCAGGGCGTACCCCGGGCCCTGGCAGGGGGCCAAGTCAGGGTTCCTGATAGAGGCAGCTGTGCTGGGAGGTCTGTGGGACCTCGGGAGCTGGGCCAGCAACCTGAGGCATCTGTTCCAGACCTAGAACTTTCCCATCATATGCGGCAGGGTGGGCGGGGCAAGACAGGAGCCAGTGTCCCCCTCCCCAGCACAGGCACAGCCCCACCCGTCAAGGAGGCCCCCCAGTCCTGTCCACTGGGTCAGGCCACGCTGGGCAGCTTGAGGGCATGGCCTCATTTCTCCTGGGCTTGGGACCATCAGCTGAGACCCCACCCCCACAACTCTGGGTCCTCCTCTCCACCCTCAGGCCCCTAGACAAGGCAGCCAAGACCTCCTGAGGTCCACGCTCCAGCCCCCCACCAACCATCTGCTTGTGCCTCCTTCCACCCAAGGGCCCAAGTGGGCTCCGCAAAGGGCAGGGTGCACCCTGTGAGGCTCAGTCTGCCAGGGAGTGGGTGGAGGGGTGGGCCGCACTGACCCATCCCCTTCTCCCTGGGCAGGGCAGTAGGGAGGTCTGACTCAGCCCCCCATAGGCAGCCATCCCAGCCCTGCGGAAGACTCCCTGCCGGGTGACTGTGCTTCTGTTTCCCATCCCCCACACACGTTTTTCTCAGCCTCACTAAAACAACGTCCAAGCCCAGAGGACTGGCTCTCACCCAAATCAGTGTCAGGAAGGGAAACTGAGGCCAGAGAGCGGGTGCTTGACCTCCAATAGCGACCCTGCTCCTCCCGAGCCCGGTGGACTTACCTGAGGCCTGAGGGCAGCGGGCGCCCAGGACAGCCCCTGTTCCTCAGAAGACAGCTCTGGGCTGGGACACTGGCTGGGGAGGAAGAGGCAGATTTGTCTGCCTGGGAAGGTCTTGGCCACAGTGTAGGCCAGGCCCCCCCACTCTCAGGAGCCGCCCAGAGCCACGCCTGCAGCCCTGCCTGGGCAGAGCTCCTCTGGGGGCCTCAGAGCTGGGCTGGGATCTGGGGTGGGGGTGGGCTCCTCCCAGGAGGAGCAGAGGCAGGAAAGGAGCAGGAGGGGCCGGAGGAACTCACGTGCTCACGTAGTCCAGGGGGTGGGGGATGGGGGGGGGGGGGGGGGGGGGGGAGAGGGGGAGAGGCCTGCCGGGGGGCACCTAGAATCCCTGTGTGTGTGTCAGAATAGGTGGAGAGCGGGCGGTCCTCAAAGAGAGGTCTGGCCTGGCAGGGAGGATAGCCAGAGGGTGGCCGGAGGCTGCTGTCATGTCACGGCAACAAGGAGGCACAGGGACTCGGCCTATTGCCAAGTGACTAGAGTTCACGCAGCCCTGGGAGGGCCCTGGAGGTACGAGGTGCTCTCAGCAGTGACCCTTGGGGTTCCCTGGATGGTGGCAGCAGGCAAGAGGTGTGGCCCCAATGGGGAAGGCGAGGTGTGGCGACAGAGACAAGGCATCCCTCCTCCTGGACTCAGGTCCCTCCGAAGGGTGGGTGTCCCCCACAGGCTTGCCCTGTCCTTGTTCAGAGTATCGGAACTCCAGGGCCAGACATGGTGTCCCAGAGATGGTTCCTGAGGCCGTGGAGCAGGGGTGTCACCAGCACCAGAGCAGAACCCAGACCTGAGAGGCTCACCACACCCCACAGCTGGACGGCAAGGGTACCTCCCTGGGGCACGGCCCAGGGCTTCAAGTCCGGAAGGTTCCACCACCTATCCAGGAACATTAGTGCCCAGGCCCAAGGAACCACCTAAACAGCCTGGAAAGGCAGGGCCCAGAGACGGCCAGAGCGGGTCCAAGGTCACACAGCCCACCAGTGCACACCTGGCTACCCCATACCTGCCCCAAGTTGCTGCATGTCCCTGACCAGCCCACCAAGGAGTCCAGAGTCAGGAGCAGCTGCAGACCCGCCCCAGGGAACTTGGACACTGCCCCATCCCCCTTTGGCTTTCGTCAGGCAAGGAGAAGGATCAGCCACTTCCTGAGTCATGCCTCCCTCCCCCGCTCCCCAGCTCGCTGTGCCGAAGCTGCCCAGGAGCCCCCACAGCCCCCGTCTGTGACATCTAATCCGCAATAACCCCGCAAGGCTGCACCATTTGATAGGTAGAAGGAGACGTGGAGGCTGACCAGACATTGCTGCCTGCCCTGGGTCACACAGCCAGAACAGGCCTGGTCCTATCACTCAACTGCCCTTGGGCGGGCTTGGCATGGAACCGACCCAATGCACTACCATGAAATCTTCAACCAGCATGACCCTGGGATGGCGGTGCCATGACAGCTCTTTCCCTAGACACCATCCCCTCCCCTGCAGACCAGGGTAACTAAGAAGATGGACAAGGCAGGATCCAGGGACCAAGGCCCAAGACCTGTCCCCAAGGACTGGACATCAGCCAGGAACATCATGGTATTTGGTCCTGCCTGAATGGCTGCATTGCAGCTCAGTCGGCTGGGAGGGGTCTGCAGTGGAGAGCCACAGGGCTCTGTCTCAATGCCTGAGCCTGCTCAATGGTTTTCTCCCTGCCTGGGATGGCATGAGACATGGCAGAAGTGGCAGGAAAGTAAGAAGAAGGTCTGAGTGGGCAGAGGATGACCCAGACCCCCCATGTGACCTCAACAGGAAAACCCTGAGCTGAGGCAAGTTGGAAGAAGCCCAGCTGCAGGTTCTATGGAGGGGAGACAAAAGCGAAGGTGTCTCAAAGGCCATGTCAACTGAGGCATACATACGTACGGAACAAAGAAAGCCCTTCCTCACATATCAAGTGTGTCACATTCTGTCCCAGTCAGCCCCCCACACCCACATGCAGAGAGGGGACCTGGGGGCAGTGGGTCTGGGCTGGAGGTCTCCTCCAGACCCCACGGCTCCTGTCCTAGGCACAAAAGGTGGTGAGTTCTCTGCCCCCAGGAATATGCAAGCCTCACCCAGCCAGAGATACTGACCCTGCCATCAGCACCACCCCCTCCCAGTACACACACATATATATACACACACACACACACACACACACCCATGCTGAATCTAGGCTGAGCAAGCATGTTCTAGGACGCAGCAGAGAAGAGAGCGTGAAGAAGAGTGAGACAGAACAGACAGCGTGGGGTTTCTCTGTTAATCCTCCAGCCCCAAAGTCACAGGGGCGAAACTGGGCACAGCCCCAAACCCATTCACAGGCCTGAAGCCGAGGCTTAGGTAGAAGCGACTTGGCCCTGGAGGCACATGGATGGACAGGTAGGCACCCCTTCACTTTCCTTACCACCAATGCCCACAGTGAGGAGTGATGTCCCCTAGGTATGAGAACACAGCTCTGGGCAGGAAGCTTACCATGACCCAGACCGGATTTGGGAGCCTCCTTCCCCAAGACCTGATAACCACTACCTGCCAGAAACCTGTCGAAATAGCTATACATGCCTGCAATGACCACAAGGGGGCGGGCGTCCCCGGAGTTGTGCAATCACCCCTTGTACTTGTACCGGCCATGCCCCACCCCCACCATGAGAGCAAACCAGAGCCCGAGAGATGTGGCCCGAGGACACAGCACCTCAGCCCCCATCACCACTCACCTCCACTCCAGACCCGCCACCCCAGTGACCCCACCACCGCCCCAGGCTGCCCCATCCTTCTGGGCCTCAGTTTCTCCACACTGCCCTCCTCCCTCTCAATCCAAGAAGCCCACTTCCCCACCCTCCTCCACCCACCCCACAGCTGTAGCAGTCAGCCAGAAAGCCTTGTCAGGCAGCCTCAAACCCACTTACTGGAAAAGAAACAGAGGCTCCCAGCCCAGACCCAGTCAGACCAAGGGCCTAAGGCTCTGCCCATCCGTGTGACCCCTCTGCAGGATCCGTCCACACAATCCCCACCCCCATCACCCTGAAGAGCAGCTCACTCCCATGACGCAGGTGTATAAACTGAGGCTCAGAGAGGACGGGGGACTCCTCCAGAGCACAGCCGGGACATAACAGAGCTGGGGCTGGAACCCAGTCCTCCAGATGTCCCCGAGAGGCCCCAAGCCTGAGCTCCCCACTCCTACGATGTCCAGCAGCTCAGAGATGGTGAGCTGAGCTTCAGGGTCACATAGCACTGGGGTACAGCCAGACTCCCATCCTGCCCCAGCTCACCTGGCTGCAAGGCTGGTCCTCCTTCGGTACTCCAGCACAGAGCAGAGTCCCCAGTGCCCAGCTCCTCCCCTCCCTCCCCCTGCTGGCCTGAGTGGGGGGAGGCTTTAAAGGCACAGGAACCTTTCCAGGTGGGAAGAGGACTGGTTCCTGGTCCTGTCCCTGGGGCTGTGTGACCTGGGACAGCAGGTAGCCTCTTCAAGCCCAGTGGGGTCCCAAACCCTGCATAAGAGACCTGAGCTTTGAGGGCCTAGGTAGGGCTACATGAGGCTGGGTTTCAGGCAGAGGCCAGTTAGGCCAAGGGTCCTCTGGGAGGAGGAGAACTCCTGGCCACGTTCAATATCCAAAGAGAGGTCCCACAGTGCTGGGGCACAGCCAGATGCCTCCACCAACAGGGGTGGGTGTGTGAGCATCAGAGGCCCCGCCAGGCCTGAGAAGCCTGATGTTTTCTCTAGAGTTCCTGGTCAGGGGATGCCCTCGCCCCAACCCCCGGGGCTACAGATGTCCACAGGCTGTCACTCCAAGGACCCTGGTCACCGTCACCAGGACAGAAAGGAGTCACATGAACCGGGGAGTCTTTCCTCATCCCTCAACTTTCTGGGGTTGAGGAGGCAGGCTGATGGAGGATGGGGCCATCTGCTCACACCCCCGCACCTGCTCCAGCCAACAGGATGGGGTGGGTACCCCCACAGGGCTGGCAGGCCCAAGCCTGCCCATTCTTCTGAGGTCCACACACAGCCTGCTGCTTACATTTATTCATCCATCATTCATTCATTCACTCACTCTCCCATCTGACCCTGGCCCATTCAGATTCTTCTCTCAAGCAGCCCCTAGCCAGACTGAAGATGGGATAGTATAGTCAACCAAGGAGGAAGAGGAGCCCAGGACCCCCAGGGAGGGGCAGAAACTATGGGGGGGGGGATCCAGATAGCACTGGGATTGGACTGTGGAGGCCAGCCAGGCAGAAGGAACAATTTGAGCCTGGGGCATCTCCGCAGCAGTGAGGGTACAAGGGAGACTCTTGACCGCCCTGACCCTTCCTGAGCCCTGAGGCATCAAAGCTGGAAACGGAAGTGGCTGAGCTCAGACCCTGAAGGCCAGGCCAGTGCATCTGGACTTTGAGAGCCTGGGGAGGCTGGTGAATGTGCCACTGGGCTGGGTAACCCATTAACCCCAGCTCACTCATTAAGACCCTGGTGGGTGACCATTAGCTCCTCAGCCATTCTGGGAGTCAGGCAGAGGGCAGGGGCCATGGGAAGAAGGGAGTGTTGATGGGGCGCTGGCTGGGGGCTGGCTGAGCTTGGGTCTCTGTGTCCCTGCTCCTGGAGGAGCTTCCCTGGGTCGGGCTGGCCTCCAGCCAGGGGAGCTGCCAAGGCAGCCTGGGGGCCCCACCCCACCATCCCAAAACCTTTCATCTGCTAATCACCCCTGCGGTGCTGGCACCAGCGACCTAGAGAGTTTGGGGACCTTGGCCAGACAGGAGGCTCAGGCCCTGGACCAGTGGTCAGGGAGGCAGGCACCTGGCCCATCCCCCACTCTGAGAAGTGGGCCCACAGAGGCCTTGGAGGCCACTTTCCTGCTCTAACAGGCTCAGGTCTGCCCCACTTCTATGCCTGGAAAAACAAAGCACTTGTGGGGCAAGCAGGGTGTTCCTGGCACAGGAAACCTCACCCTAAGTAGAAAAAGGACTTACCCAAAGCTACCCGGCAGGACAGCAACCCAGGAAATGGGGAAACACCTGCAAACCACTTCCTACCAGTGGTGCCCCACCCTGCTGTCAGGTCCTGGGGGTGGCTGTGTC